AGTAAATATGGCTACGTGCAATCGCAAACGGTCACAAAACCACCCACAAGCACCTGTCCAGCTAGCTCAATCAAGTACAAGTACTAACAAAACTTTTAAAAGGAAACAATTAGGTATAATTTTTTTAATGCACGTCCAATTTCGATGTTGACGTAAATTTTATTCATTTGAAAAATTCAGCAACCTTAGCCACCTCCAAAATTCAACAACAGTATCAGTATCTTTAAGATCTTTAAAAATATACTGATCGTCTGAAAATGGAGGAATTTCCAGTATTTTTTAGAGAAAACTCGTATGAAATGTTCTGATATATTGTAGGTGCAGTTATCTTATTCTTTTTATTGGATAAGACCGAGGATAAAACTTACGTGATCGAAATCAAGCCCCGAATATGAATTAAATGAAGTGAATGGTGAAATAGAAAAATTTTATTTAATAGGCTCACTCCTATATAATTTTTTAACGAGAAATACCTACTGCTTTTTGTTTCATCTTGTGAAAAGCGGTTGCCAAAAGACAGGGCTAGCATATATACGGAAGTAATCAGAAGATAAGTACGTTTCGTTATAAGGCCATAGTTGTTCAAAATCAGGAAATTGTACTTTTCATAAAAAAACAGTAAAAGCTTTTGAAAGATTAAACATAAATTGTAAAAGTTCAATGCTTTTCTACTACTATAGATACATATATATGTTTGTTGACTGAAGTGAAAGTTTCAGTTTAATACCTGCTTACCGTTAACGAACACAAAATTCCAATTTACATCCCTAAAAGCCAGAAACTTTAAATGAAACCGCAGGAATTATATGAATATACCAGGACAGAAGACAGAACATGCTTAAATGTCTATCTTTTGCACGCTTCTACAAATAATTTATAGAGTAGGTATTTGAAGCGAAAACGCTATTTTCAGTTCTATGATTCTACGCGACTAAATCATTTGTAGTTAAAATTTACGCAATGTTTGATACAATTGAACGTAGTGTAACAGGGAGAATTATTAGATCTTAGCGTATACTGATTTTGTTACCTAGCACCTGGGTATGATGAGAACAATTTCCACAAACTTTAGTGTTGCATATTATTGATAATGTTCAATTCAATCTGAAAGTTAAGTTTCAGACACGAAGAAAACGGAATCACGACCTCGGAGACCTCGGCAAATAGTTTATTTGCACATTAGATGTATTTTTAGCGACACCATTTGATTGATAAGTTTGGCTGTATCATGGTGTAAAAAATGTAGTAGGTGTACAAACGTTCTTCTCAAAATAATGTGTGATATTATGCATACTATGCCCAGTCTAACTGGAGTCGTCACCTAAAGAGTTGGACAGTAAAAATGAGCGCATTACACTGCGAAACATGAGATGTTCAAGAGGGGGAGATGGTAGTAGCCCAATTTTTTACAGACAACAACACAATTTGGAAACCAAGGTCTATGCTAGGTCAACTTAGACTTGGAACAACTTTAAAACGCCATATTAATCAACTCCGCCGTACAAATATACAAAAAGTAGGTACATTTTCAAATTACACCTCCGAAACAATAATCACAAAATGACTACTAACATTTTGTATCTGATGATGTTCAAAGACCAAATGAACCAACACAACCAGATACTCAACGTCGCCCAGTACCCGAACAACAAGTACCTACAATTACCATCAGCTAGTGAGGATCACGAAGAGTAACGCGAGCACCAGGATTGGTACGATTAAGTTACACACTGATTCTGGAATTATCTACCACAAGTGAACTTTTAAGAGAGGGAAACTGTGGTGCCTTCCATAATATTCAAAAGAATGCAGAATGCATTTGTCAATGTAATAAAAATAAATGTTTTTTCTACGTTGTTAATAGAATATTAAAAAAAACCTTTAATATTCGTAAATTATTCAACAGTGACTGTAAAATAAATACAATGTTGCGGAATGAAATTGGGGTGGACACTTTGGGTATTCAAGATTCGTTAAAAGACGTGCTATATGGGTTGAACTTTCTGGGATTATGGGTCATCAACCTATTTATACCAATTTTTGATTACCTAGTCGTTAGAAGATCAGGAAAAAAACAACTTAATAATGAATGACTGTTCAATATACCTTATGTAGGTAATTGAGCGAAGGGGTAATTGAATACTTAGGTACATTTGATTGTCATCATGTACAGCTTATATGCATGTGTGATCAGTACACACAAAAAAGCTTAGTTTTTGATTCGTCAGCGGTATGGCAAAAATTTACTGTCAATAAAGAATTGTTTAGAAAAAGGTATAAATTTCATTAAAAAGATTCCCGTTATACTTTCAGCTTTTAGAAATAGGTTTTCGTAACGATTTAGTTCAAGCAAAATACAAAACCTCCAGTTTTTCATAAGTCAATATACAAACTAGCCTAGGCATTAAACCTGCCGGTAGTTATAAATCTGCATAAAAATAAAATTCTGAATCATCTACCTATTAAAGAAATTTGCCTTATTATACGTTACGTCTTTAAAAAAAAATACAAAGCAATAGAAACGGGTGCTTTCATCCGCGTTAGTTTTCGAAATCGCACCGCAACAAACCCACCCCGTGTATGGAAGGAAAAATGTGTTGAAATACCCTAAACGGTAAATAGATTTTATGGCGACGATAAAAAGATCTTAATGTACTGTTATCTGCAAATGATGTGACTATTTATAGAAAATACACACCGTTAACCCCTATAGATGTGTATTGCGAAACGAAGAAATTATATGTAAACAGTAACGTATAAAATCTAATCAGGCTATTTACTCTTATTTTCTGCCTACCTACTTTTTAATATGAGAGTAAACAATCAATCAGTTTCGTTTATTATCGAAGTTTATTGGTTTCTATTATTGTGGTTTGTATTTAAAGCGTATTGATTATTTAGGTAAGTGACGTTTGAGTGGAAGCAAAACAAATGTAAAATGCAAATTTACTTGCACCACCTCATTTAAAGAATTATACAATCGTTCTGTACTGCAAAATGGCGAAAATGCAAGTTAATCATATATATACTTCTCTTATATATATGAAGTTAATTAAGCAACGCGGTTCAAATTGATGGATGCAAAGTGCAACATTAGAAATAATTGGTTATGGTCATATTACTAAAGGTTAATCGTTCCTTTAAACTTTAAAGGATCTAATGTGAGTATGGTTACATTTACAGATATATTTAGGGTAAAATGGTACCTCTCAGAAATGGGCTCTATGCAGATGACTATTTTGGTGGGTGTTTTGCGCAATATGAACTTCATTAAGCCTACCGTGTCGACAGCGATAATAGTACCAAGTGTGCAAATAAAGAACGCCTGAAACCAGAGAATCTGCTAAAAACCGAACGAAAAAGTGTAAGTAAATGGATATATACGAAAGGTATTTAGACGAGCGACCCCTGCTTCTGCGATTACGGCGCCACGAAATACTAGCAGATTATTGGATTACAGCGGGCTTTTGGTGGCATCTGACAAATTGTTTGTTTATTACTTATCCACTTACTTATGCCTAATCACCATGACAAGTTACACGATTGAATTTGAAAAGCACGTTCAAGTGGTAAAACTGTTCTATAAAATCAGTGTTCGTTTGTTCATTAGTGCAAACGGTGCGCGCATTGGGTCCATTTTACGGTTCGGAACTTAGGCCTACGCCCATTTAGTTATTCGCTGACTGGGCTCAGAATCGTTTGAAAGAAAAGACAATTTTTTGCCGTGTGGGGGCGACACGGCCCACGGGAGGTTTACCACATGATAATGCATCCTCAAAAAGTCACCGTTCGGTGTGGATTTTGGGCCGGCGGCGTCATTTGTTCGTAATTTTTTGAAAACGACATTGGTGAGGCGGTCACCATCAACGGCGAGCGCTACAGAGCGATGATAACCCATTTTTTTGGGGCCAAAATGAACCATATGTTATACGACATGTGGTGAATTCTTCACAAAAAATGTTCTTAGGGTATTTTGTGTACGGTTGACTTTTAACATAAAAATGCCGCTAATAAAACATGGAACTTCAAGATCGTTGTGCTGACGTGACAATTTATAAACGGTTAAAGAAAAGAAGATTGTAAAGGCAAATGTATATGCTGCATGTAATAATAGCACACTTATAATCTAAGACTATTAATTGAAGCAATGAATTGATATTGGCACCCTCGTTGGTACCAAGACATTTGGTTATTCCCCTAAACCATTCAGCCCAAACACATAGCGTTTGAAAAGTATAGTTGTTTAGGTAGAAATTAATTTCAAAAGTATTGTTTATATAAGAAATGGCCCCTGAGTCCCAGAATAATCTTAAGACTCTAGCAAAAATGCATACGTATAGTACTGTCGTTTTCATTACCTATTAATAGCTATGAGTGATATTATGCTTGTTTTGAAAACATTTTTCATTTACAATTGTTAAAAACTTACTCAATTTCTCTATAGCAATTCGGGGGAGCACGATCATTTCTCAACGCACCTACACCACCAGTTCACGTTTAACTAACAACTGGCATCAATTTTAAATTATGACGTGGTGTCTGCGTGATAATGATAAGAGTCACCTTTTATATCCGTGACCGCCAATTATTACTGCTGTGTACCTGTTATTTATCGCAGGGTGAATCATTTGATAAATCGGCGTGCAGTTTTAATCAAAAAGTCCTGCTATTCCAAATATATCGCAATGGGAATAATTTTGAAAAGCCAAGGTAAATTCGCCGGTTATATTTAACTCTAATGGTTTTAAGCTGATCAGAAACTGTACAATCTGGCACTAAAAAGCGCAATTGACACAAGCTAATCTGCTTTAGACTGATTGATTCTTCGCGATTGAGCAAAGGGTATTTTCGCCTCCAGATCTAGGGGCTATTCTTGAAGGGCCTAACATTAACTCCATAAAAGTTTGTAAATTAAAGGTTTAGTAGTAGGTGTTGACTTTTTTGAAAATAGGTTAAGGTTTTAATAGTTAGTCTAAGAGGGGTAGAACAACAAGCAAGTTTTACCAGAACATGTTGTCTTCGATTCGACGCGTCCTTTAATGCATCCTCTTCACGTTGCTCAATGTGTGCGCCAGTGCCAACGGTTTTGGCCAATACGTAGGACCATCATGTAGAAGGGGGGTTTGTGGTAACTGGGGACACGCGTTGCAGGGAGATCCGAGTGGATCCGGTGTTTCCGTATACACTTAGGTATAGTACTTGTATGCTGTAAATAAATCAATTAATCAATCAAGAGCGACAAGTATTGGGTAAAATTTAATCAGTTAGTCCCTTGACCATCTTTGAAGGATAGCTAAATTATCTATTGATTCAATTTAGGGTATATGACATCGGTGTAATTTCACGTTCTTACAAGTTGCATTACTTTCTGAACTTAACCATTTAAATGTATGCGGTGAGATGATACTGTAACGTAAGTTTCGTTACGTGCTTCTTATAGAATTAATTAACAATAAATTTATAACAGTCTCGAAATTGATTAATTTATAACAGTAAAAAGATATTATTTATTACTCACGAATACACCATTTATAACGGCGCGAACTATGTATACTTCGGCGTTGAAAATGAAACTGAACTGATTCATAATTTGATTTGGTTACATAGAAAAACCCATTCTTTCTCGATAGCTGTCGAACGCTTCCCGACACATCCGAGCCTTTCTAGAATGTTCTCGAACAAACACGTCATACTTCTCGGAAAAACTACGGCACATACACCTTCGTCCCTTATCGCCAACGACTTCTTTCATGGCGCCTCGAAGTCTTTCAAAATTTCTGGAATGGGATGTACCTATATCTTTTAGAGCGCCTGTTTGGTTAGATTATAATGACGCAACCCAACAAACGCATATTGATCCCAAATTTTGTACTCCCTCCCATAAGTGATAAGAGTAATTCTCTCCCAAATGAAAAATTGGCTTTGAGCATATTTGGTATGGCTTGAGTATCTATAATATGACTATAGTAAAAGCAGTGATTAGTAATTTATTGCGTAAGACAGATAATCATGAAAATGTAAATTGGAAATCGCCGTTAATTAACAGTTCCAGTATAAATATTGAAAGTAATCAGAGTTCATCCCCTTTAGTAATAACACATGACGTTATTGGAAATGCACATTAATCACTATGTTTAATTCAAACATTACGCGAAATGACAGCGCGCTTTTTAAAGCAACCTCAGTTCGCTGAAAGCGTAGATACCTACCGCTATTACTTACTTTTAAAATAATTAGGCGATTATTTAAAAAAAGGAAGCCATTTAATTTGAATGTCCAAATGAGAAATTGTCCCCATAGAAGTGACGTACTGCTTCGCATACTGCGAGCTATTACTACTCCAGCAGTATTGTTAAATGTATTACACTCATTCTCCCCAAAGTAAAAAATAAGCGATTCATCTCCGACTTGAATAGTAACCATGGTATCCCGTCGAATGCATTCTCGATATCTGGATTATCAACGCAAAAAAGTTCCACCCCCTAACAGATATTGTGTTGCAATTCGTGCAATGTAGCAAGCAACTAACAAGGATTTACATATGCATAATAAACATATAAGATGTATCGTCTAGGAAGTTCTGAACGTATTTAACTATTGCACATTGTTGAGCCGTAAAATAAGTTAAGTAAATCTAATTAAACTTGGTGGAAAATCGAGCAAGATTTGTTAACAATTTAATTATGTTGCGAAGCGCACTTCGTTACCAACGCAAATTCTTGAGCTTTCGCGTACGACTATAAACAGTTCGGGATCTTTTGAAAAAGTTTTGCGAACGATATTTTGGAAATGCAGTATCAAATGGATTTATACTCTGTGTTCAAATCAAGAAAAATTGAAAGGCACGATGTTAATTTCCAGATTTCGTTTTGCACGATATTTGACATCTTATGAACTAGTTAACAGGCAAAAAGCCAACAAATTATAGCGAAGTACCACAACATGTGATAATAAGTTTCCGTCTTAAGAAGGAAGTTTCTAACATAATTACGTACTTACATTGTACTGCATTCCTGATGTAAATTTCCTGATGGTTAAATTTGGACCAATGCATTGCTCTCAGACCCTTTTGGCAGTCGTTTATGTTGAATAAACGTTTGTCGCTGTAATTTAATTCATGTACAACAATAGAAATGTGTAAATATGTAAAAATGAGATGAAGGAATTTATAATTCATTATGATTATACATTAAATATTTTGATATCGAGCTTTAAATGTTTCAAACAGTTTTTTTTGTAACAAAGCACCTACTTTTCGCCTTGAAGTTACCAGTGTTAGTGATCACTCTGTAGAGGAGCGCCCGGTATATAGAAGGTAATTGATTTAAATTCTAGAGTTGTGTTTTAGTCGCTGTTACCGTAAACAGAAGCTGTAATTAATTCGCGTTTGCAACCGTTCCCGTCAAGATATTTAATTGTTTTTGTTACCTCCGAAAGCTCTTGTCATTTAAAAGACGGGGGCGAATGAATATTTTAGAATTTCAGCTCCGTTAAATAATTCGTTAGATGATTTTGTTTTGGTTTCGTATATTAATTTAAAACGAGCATTAACACTGCAAACCTGCCGACCTGAGAAATTGCAATTAACAATGAACCGACTTTAAAACTTTCATTCTGGCCAATTAAGTAAGTGTAGCTAAATAAATGTGTTGCAGTGAATAGCATCCGATTAAGTCGTGAGGGGTCTCAAAAGTAGCGAGCTTAGTTAATTTGAATTTTAAGACAAGTTGCAGATTTTTAGAACGTCAGCAGGCTGCACAATTAAAAAATAAGTTTTAATTTTTGGATATAGATACCACATACTGTTTTTGTAAACTTTTACGTTAATAAATCTGATCTTAATGTAAAAATCGGACTAATGAATTTACCCCCAAGAGATGGAGAATTTCGCGCAAAGTTGTATTATTACTTTTATTTTTTTTATCCCTAAAATATGCATGCTGTCGTGTATTTTTTTATCTAAAACGGGAATGTTTCAGTAAAAATAAAGGCAATTAGGTACCGATTAGAAGAACTGATATGTATTTTTACAATATTTCAATTGACATAGAGAGTCCTAAAGACTTGCACCATTGTTGTGCGCAGTGCTTCACATCTCCAATTCTTCTCACTTAGAACTTATTGCAAAAAAACATTACTTCCTACTTTAAATTGTATTTATACCATCAGATTATCAGAAGAATATACGTTCAAAAGTTACAGAGTGTTTAGAAGGGGGGCACTAGGTACTGGTAACTATTTTTGGGTGGTTAAGATAGGGGAAGTCCTAGACCAGTAGGCATAAAGGTGGTAAGCCAAATTTAAAGAACCATTCTTTGATAAATTTAATATATTTCGGTTGACGTTCTGATGAAGGTTGCAACGTCAACCGAAATATATTAAATTTATCAAAGAATGGTTCTTTAAATTTGGCTTACCACCTTTATGCTTACTGCCCTGGACCAGGACTTTCCCCATCTTAACCACCCAATAATAGAAGGGAGGCTACAGAGTGCAAAGCGAACACAATACAATCAAGAATGAATCGCCAAATTTTATCCAAGCGACTTCTTCCGATTATATTTACCCAATAATAATATACAGTGGGTGTACGATTTTGCGAGGACTTCTAACGCTTCCAGCTGAATACAAATCATAGCTAACGATTTAGACAGTTGAATGAATCCGTCACGCGAAAATTTTCAGAGGCAATTAAGCATGCAGGCACCGAAAGAAGCGCGAAAGCCGAATGTAATAAAATTTGCATAAAACTGGAAATCGGAATTAACGCCCGATCGCATAATCAACGCCTTTACTCTTAATCAACCGTGTTAAAGCCATCACCTATGGTTATCAAACAGACGAACGACGCGCATGTCATGGCGGTATAAAGACGCTCTTCAAGCGCCACGGCGCTCACAACCTGCTCGCTTCCAATAAATACCAAACGCTAACCATCACAGTCTTCTCGAGCGTCTTTTCGTTCGCGAAACTCGCAACTTTCAAAGTTTTCAGTGCGCGCCACCAGTTTTGAATACATATATAAGCGATTTTCTCCGTCGAGCTTTTCGAAATTTACAGCAAAGGTAAGTGTCGCTTCCTCTATCATATATACCGAGGAACGGAAAAACGAAAATAATTAATTAAATCTCTTGTTACCTAAAAAAAATCCAGAGACACGTAAACGTGAAATTCCAATAACGCAATTATATAATTAGTCTGATGTCGGCAAACAAATTACCTTTTAAACGTGCTTGGTTGATTGAGTTTACCGTTCCTTTTGACGATGAAACCAAGCGCTTTCTGATTGACATACTTCCCAAAAAAAACTGAATTGACAAAGACATGACACAAACCCACTCTTGAAACTAGAATGATCTAATTTTGCTACCTTGGGACGGATTGTAATCATTCCCAAAACAGAAAAAATCTAAATATGTAAATAATTCCCGGAAAGGTTTCGGGGATAATCCTGCATGCAGTCAACTTTGCATACCAAGAGCATATAGCAGGTATACATTTTTTACCGAAAAGGCATTCTGAAAGCCAAAGCTGTGCAAATGTGATGTTATAAAAATAGAAATCTTGCCATTGATTTTCTATAATTTGATTATTTGTATTTTCGTGATTGAAACCGAATTTTCTTTTATTTATAAAATTAATGGGTGACGTAGGTACTTAACTGTGTAATTCAAACATAGCACCACTATGTTTTGATAAATGCTAGATCTACAAATCTTGCATACCTATAGAAACAACCTAAATTTGAAAAAGAAACATCCTTTTGGCTTCAGGCTAGGTTTTCAAATAACTTTTTACACTTGAATTGTGAAGGATGCATATTTATTCAGCCCTCGGTCAACTAGATGAATCTCGCCTCGCCTAAATCAAAAAGTGTGCACAAATTGTGGTTTTTCTTTTCTTTTACATCTATTTCGCGAGTTTTGGTTGAAATGAATTTCACGCTTTTTTAAACTTGGACACTAACTATTTAAAAATAGTACATTTTTGGGGGATGATGTCTCTGAAGTTAGTTTACTCATACAACACATGCTTATTATGACTACATTAGAACATTTCCGTTAGTTTTCCACTTCAAATAAGAATGTAGGTACTTTTATCACCAAATAGAAAACTCAACATTATAATTTATTTACCCCGAATCAAACTAAGCGATAAGGCGATTTGTCCACGTCTGTTATCTGGCATAATCATCACAATGTTATTAAAGATAACAAAGGAGCCACTTTTTACACGTGTGTGTACAATGCATTACTACATGCATGGGCGTAGGTACTAAGTTCACCCCAAAAAAATGTCATTGAATAGAAGACATCGTGGAAGCCCTTTATTATACCGTTGTGGTACCGTGACAAGTAGTATGGATACTCATTTCCCAGATCATAGAAAATTAAAATATGTAACCGTTCTCATCGTGAATCTACAATTTTAATGTGGGCCAATAATGTTATAATAAAATACGTACCTAATAATGGTAAAGTAAAAATTTAGGGCTGTTATAGACAATGAGGGCACTTTGTCCGTCAGTTCTCCAAGTTGTACAAGAAACATGAAGCTTATCACTCATGCATGTGAATCCATACCTATATGATCGTTTAGATTACAAAATATATCCCACATACAAGGTAAACATTCATCCACAGAAGATGTTCCAAATGAAAAACAAGTATGCTGTAAATAAACCAAATATGACTATTAACTAATAGTTATTTGTGTACCAAGGCCGTAAAAGTGATCTTTTTTGGCCGAAGCTGCTGTTTGTGGCCGAGGCGGTAGCCGAGGCCGCAATTCAGATGAGGCCTAACAAATCACTTTTGGCCAAGGGGCACACAACATTTTTTAGGCGATCCTCAAAAAATAATTCAAAAATTTGCTCATAAACATATTTTTTCTGAAAATCATAGTTATCTTAGACAATTAAAAACAAAGCATTCCCTGTCGTATGTAATAAATTATAATTAGCATCTTTGCGTGTGTTTTGTGCGTATCAAAATGGGTGATAGCGACAGTTCAGATACCCCAAATGAAATTTTGGAAGCTGCAAGCGTTGCGACCCTAAGTCATATATGATATAAGAGCAGGCGTTTGAGAGTAAAAGTACAATCGCAACTTCCTCCGCTGCATAAGATTTTAATAATGTCAAATGCAATAGGTCCTTCGTAACTGTGGCTTCCAAGACCTTATAGTTAACATGCTGTACAATTATTAGAAACCTGATTACCTACTTTGATGGTAGGTATAGCTACTTGTGTTCTCGGTTAATTGCTGGTGATTCTTCGTATAATAATGTAAGCAATAACATCTTCCTCATATTTTGGTTCTACACTTCAAAAAGGTCTGCAAGCAGCAAAGATTGAAACGTCAAACTATAATTTTAAATGTGAACATTGTGATTATGCAAAATAGTGTGAAACATTCCTACAAGTCCGAAAATGAAAAAAACGCACGGGGATGGCCCAATCCTTGATGGGGCTAGACCAGATAGACGCTTTGTATCAAACAGATTACTTTTTCTCAAACATCAGTTTCAAATAAGTAGGTACAGTTTGACAGATGATAGCCTAAAAATGGTTTTTTTTCTAAACGAAACGTTAAACTAGGTAACTGATTTATTTAGTTTTCCATTTTTGAATTTTGCTTTAGTAACGTAAGCTGACAACGGAAGGAAACGGATTGTTAACGTAAGTTCGACGAATGTGCTTATCCCTAAAATTAAACGGCACTTTTTTCTCGTTGAGATTCTTTCAATAGAATAAAATCCCGCCCCGCAACCGCACGTTATGAGTTCGTTATCGAAATAGTTATTTACATAAAAGTTTGGAAAATCGCACATTACTGGCGAGGATATATTGAAGTTTGAGGCCCCTTCGGATTAAATTACAGTGTTTTTTTGTTAATGTTAATGTTGCATTTTGTTTAAATAATTGTAAATAAATGGGTTTTACGTTTGTTTAAAATCGTAAATCATTTATGTAATAGTCACTTTAAACTAATAATAATAATAATAATAATAATTGTGAATATTTATTTTATTTTTATTTTTCTTTAGAACCCTACATAACTTCACTAGACACAGACACAGACACTAATCGTTACTTGATTTTAATCCGTGCGATTAGTTAACCAGGCTAGACCTGAGTTCT